ACACACACACACACACACACACACACACACTTACACATACTTAGGCCTAACACACCTGTACACACCTACATCTTTACAACTTTTGATAACACTAAAGTATGTGTATGAAAATTAGTTTAGGGTCAATATCTAGTACATTTTGTTCTTCATGTCTCGATTAGCTTACCTGTGGTGTAGCAGTTAGACTCTTTGCCATTGTACCTTGGAGTTTTTTACTAGTAAAGTACGCTATGCATTGTACACTAAAGACATGAATTCAGTTCCCTAGGGGGAATTTAGTCAATCGAAATATATTTGTTTTGTTGGAATGTTGTATCCCTCACAGCCTGAGTTGGCCCAGACAGGCACGGTAGAAGAAGCCCACCTCCAAAATCAACTGCTTAGTGTATGACTCCACCATTAACCGTTTTGAAAAGTAAATTATCATTATAGCGGAGTCTTAGCGTGCGGGCACAGTGGAGTTGTTTTCACCTCACCATCCCCTCACCAGCTCCAAACAATCACCTGTTTGCCGACACTGAAATTTAATTCGTGTAACAACTACGGTTGCACGAGACAGAGTGGAAGCTGCTCACTCTCCTCTCACCATCACCAATCACGCACCAAAAATAGTTACGGTAGCCTAGGGCTTGTTGCTAACTTAGTGCCTCACTAAAATTGCAGTAACCTTGGCGCACCAGTCGCCAGACAAATTGTTGATCTGTAAACATGTAACGTGGGGTTTTAATTGCTGCTGTCCAAAAAAGATCTGGTCTTTATGACAAGACTGATTCTAACTGATTCCTAACACGCACACACACACACACACACACACACACACACACACACACATACATACATACACACACACACAAGCAGAAGTAATGTTGTCAATGTTGTCAGTTGTTGCTTGCATTAAAGTTGAAATCTGAACATGCACTGTGACGATACCTTTCTGCGCAATACCGAAACTGCTCAACATGCAGCGCGTCTATCTGTATTGAGCGTTAAAGCACATAATATTCTGTAACGGCATGGGGCCTTCTCTGGAATTGAAATAATTCTTTAATGTTTCTTGAATTTGCCTTCCACTCTTGGTAGGTTTTGTACCGGTTGTCTGGATATTGTGATAGGCTGATTCTGGGGTTTCCTCATTTTCCTCACTTTCGATCACGGTGGACCAATGAAGCTCATTGGTCAGTATTAAGTTATGAAGGACTGGAATTTCTTTCACAACATTTGTAGCAAACTCAGGTTATATTGCCACCATCTTGAACAGTGACAAGGGAGAAGAAAGCGACTCCACCCTGTTGTCTCCTCTCTCCTTCTTTGATAAGCACCAAAATGGTGAGACGTTGGTGAGGGGATGGTGAGGTGAAAGCCACTCCACTGTGCCGCACGCTTACACTTAGCAGTAGAAATGGTCCAGGTTGTGTTGATGGGTTGATGAGTGCGTAAAACGCGTGCAATAAAAAGTACTATCAGGACATAATTATTGGCTAGTGCTCCTTCCATTTTAGGTAGCAAGGCTTTCCTCTTTTCCTGACTACTTGATAAAATGCTTGACAAATTGGATGTTCCATTTGTGAGGCATCATGGTGAAATCAGGCACTCGTCAAAATAATTAAATGGTTGGGACCAGCATTTTTCCGCTTATTTGGTGTAATTTTTATCAAATTTTTTTATTTTTGGCTGAACCCTTTTTACGTCCACTAAAAAGCACATTTTTGGGTTGATTTTACTTACAAACGTTGATTAAAGGCACCAAAAAGTGTGATTTTGCTGTTTTCAAGGACTTTTAAACTTTGGAAGTCACGTAACTTTGGCGACCGTTCTCTAATTTTGTCTCTGAAACCAAGTCACCTCAACCTCTTTTAATCGCAAATATCTCAACTTCTATTCAAGATAGATGAGTACATTTTGATCGAAAGCAACACAAATGAAAAAGCTTTAAGATAATACCAATAATTCCACTTGCTGAAAAAATTTATGACCGCTGGATTCCACTGTGTCAGCACACATATATGTGTGCACACAAACAGGACTTGACTGCCAGCAGACATTATCTCTTTGCCATGTTTCTTTTTATAGATTCATCGAACGTTCAGGAACGAATTGAACCTTGCAGCAACAAAGTATAGCGGTTTCTTCCTTGAGAGACTCAACCCAAGTTTGAAAGATGGCTGCAGCGGCACTTTCTCTGGACAACCCAATCTTCCGCATGTACATGGGCTATGCTTTTCTGGTCATCATCAAGACAATAGCCATGAGTTTTGCAACGGTTTTTTTCCGAATTACATTGAAGGTACAGTTATCATACTTCGTCCTAGTGCAATGAAGGGTAATGCAGATACATATAGGTACCTTCAAAACTGTCTAAGATGGCTATCCATTGTCAAGGTGATAGGTGGCTGTACAAGACAGCACTGATGCAGAATTAATTCCAAAGGGGAGCACCCCCATTGAGGAGGTGGAATATGTGGTTTGTGCCTGACAAACTTTTTCCTTCCTCTGGTATCCCTAAGATGTCGAGGGAAGGTGCAGGTTTCCGTCCTGTGCTAAGTGTGTGGGGTCTGTGATAGATATGTTATGTAGTTCCACGACCTTTTTAACGTCCTCTAGTGGGTGGTTGGCGGATGCTCTGGTTTGGTTTGCTCCTTCTTTCCTATAAAAAATCTTTTGTCTCTATCTCACTCCCTTCTTTTTATTGTATGTTTCTCTCTTGTAACACTTCTAATCTTCGGCACTTATCATGACCTTATTGTGTTGCAAGTGCCGTAAAACTCTTACTGGGACTAACCCCACCCAGCTAGGTCCCTCCTGGTCTTCCTCATTGATTTGAAGCCGGATTCACAGGTGTGGTAAGCTCTTGCCACTAGTTGTTTCTGGGGACATTCTGGTTAGATGTCCGAAACATTTGGCTCTTTGACGCTCAAAAAAATGTATTACCGGTGGTATTCCGATTTGTAGGCGTATTGTCTCGATCCTTTTGCGGTCTTTTCTGGTGACATTGATGGTTTTGCGGAGACACCTCATTTTTTGCATACATTGATTTGTTTTGTGACCATGTTTGGCACTGGTATGTTAAAGTTAGTGTTATTATAAAGTAAAAAAAATGCAAAGGGGAAGATGGGAAGTGGCCTTTTGGACAGGTGATTGTCTTATATAAGTTGGCATTAGAGCAGGTTTAACTATTACTAAGTGTGCACATGTATCTCGTTGGTCTTAAACGTGCGTCATATTTTATGTTATATGCGAAACAAGTCATGTTATCATCTGTGATACAATTCTTTCTTGCTGTTTGAACAGGCTACTTCAAGCACTGTGCAGCCACACCCATGAGCCGGTATCAGCTAAAGCAAAAATCAATAAAATGCAAATTAGATGAGATAGTGTGTGGATTTGGATTCCACGTCTAATTGTATGATAACACCATGGACTTCTGCTATGTTGTTATGTAATCAATATTGTTGTCTGCCAGTGCTAGGTAGCAGTGTACATCTCCTGTCCCTTGAATTCCAAATGATCTCTGTTATGTTTATATGGAAATACATGTGTATGAAAGGAAAGGAAAGGAACATTTGTCTCTTGTTTGTCAAGCTCGTGAATATTAAGTTGCAGCTATGGCAATGTGGGATATAGACTTTCATTTGAAACCAAAGACAACCATTATTAAAGATTCAATATTCATTAGTTTAAATTAAAGAAAATATATTTACTTTGCTGCTCTCTAACAATGTTCTGTTGTCTGCTTTCGTTTCCATTTTTGGCCCCCACCCCCTCCTCTGGACTCCTGTCTCTTTCTGCAGCCTTTCTACTGCTAGTCCTTGGCTCCTTCCTAGTGCTGTCTTTCAACCACATCCTGATAAGGGCTAAAAATCTGGGGGTCTCGTTTGCAAGTTGTGCACGTTAAAGATCTCTAGGTGGTCCAAAATCGATAAGAGTCGGCTTCAGCCACCACTCGGGCAAAATTTAAAAATTTCCTACCAAACTGAAAGTGTCAAATGTGTCCCGCACGTTCATATTATGACCTTAGGCAGTTGCAAGCACAGTAAAACAAGTACAAATTGCTTCTGTCGGTCGCGGGAAAAATAAATAAGACTACTTAATATTTCACCAGTACTCTTAATTTTCCATCTTCTAGCCATGATGGCAAGCAAAGGATAAACTAAAACAGAACCAAATGAAAAACTTTTCCTCTCATGTTGTGAAGATGATCTCATAGGTTCACTTTACATCTATTGCATAGACAAAGAAATTAACAAACATTAGAGGTTGATGGGCATTCTGGTGTCGTTTAGTCCTTCTTTCCCATTTACAATCCTTATCTCTCCTTCTTCCTTTTTTTGTATGTTACTCTCTGGTGGCACTTTAAATCTTAAACACTTATATTACGACCTATTTGCCAGTCTGTAAAACATTCTAAAACGAAACGAAACAAACACATTTCATGCTTTAATTCTTCTCCAGTTCTCTCAACCTTCCATCCACAGCCCTTAATATCAAGTAAGAGTACACAAAAGAAGAAGAAAAGGAAGACCTTTCACCCTCTATGTTGATGCTTGTTCACAATATTTTTTTTATATTCTCAGGTGTTTTTAAACCAAGAGGATGTTGCTTCATTTGACCCAAACAAGACAAATAAGGGCCCGCAGGTTCACCCAACGATTGAGCGAATTCGAAGGTAATGCTTTTTAAAGTTTTCTGTCTATCAAATGACACATTTTTTTTGTGAAAGGCAAAAGAGACAGAGGTAGATTTAAGAATAACTTACCTTTAGAACTCAAACAAGTGGTAGATGGGAAAAGACTGAAATAAGTAATGTAGGTTTTTCGAGAGTATCTTTGTTTGGAGAATGAATTGTGTACCATGATTACCCATGACTGTTTCAGTTTTGGCTTTTGAAGAAGAAATAGAAGATATCAGGTTGTGGTGGGGATGGCTCAGTTTCACTTTGAAAAGACTGATTTCTTGGTGGAGGGGGGGGGGGGGGGGGGATTATATGGATGATCTCAAGAATCGAGTCTGACCATGTCACTCAGGTCTTTTTTATAAATTTTACAGCGTTCTTATGAAACGGCAGTCCTTTTTTCAAACGCTGCTTTTGGGGGAAAAGGAGTCCTATTTCTAACCAGGGTTCTTTTGATAATGATAATCCTCTTTTCTTTTTCATTATCATTTTTATTATTATTATTATTATTGCTGTTGTTGTTGTTGTTGCTATCATTACTATGATCTGTGTTACTGTCATGTCTGACTTTCAACATGTATGTCAAAATGCTCATGGTGATCCCTTTGAACCCTTATGTCTTGAGCCCCTGTGGGCCAACTGCCAGATGTACAATGTTTTCAAGCTGGGCTGCTGCTCTTAGAATTTTATTTTTGTTGAGTAGTTTTTGAGTTGTTTTCGGGACATCTTGACTATGTCTGCCTTGATCAGAGAAGATGAACTCTTTGAGGACACACATTCTGGTCATTCGACAACGCTTGAAGACACACTGTGTTGAAGTATAATTCTTTATTAGTGCACATTTTTGAATTCCGTTTTCTTTATCGGAAAGTTGAAAAGGCAAGCAACAACGACAACGTGTAGAGAAGGACATTTACCAAAGCCAAATCTTAAATGAACAAACAATTTCTGTTTGTGCAGTTCTGAATGGTAAGATCGATTAGTAGCTGACAACATCTCAAATAAACAAACAGTTTATATTTCTCCGGTTCTTTTTGATAAGACTGGATAGTAGCTTACAACATCATAAATTGAGAAATAGTTTATATTTCTCTGGTACTATTTAGGTAAGATGAATATAACCCCTCACACAAACACTTTGTATTTCCCTGGTATTGATCTGTCTTCAGTGTATGTATTTATTTTGCTGCCAATTTTTAAAAAAAATCTTAATGTCTGTTTCTCAGATGCCACCAGAATGACCTGGAAAACGTGATCCCCTTTGTTCTGATGGGCCTTCTCTACGTCGCAAGCGGACCCACAACGTTTGCCGCATCGCTACATTTCCGCATCTTCACTGCTAGCAGATTTCTCCACACATATGTTTACATCTTCTCCATCCCTCAGCCCACTCGTGTGCTGGTTTTTCACGTGGGAGTGTTCACGACGCTGTCCATGGCCTATACTGTTTTTTCTCAAGTAGCTTTTTGAAGAGTGACAGAACAGAACATTTGACTTTGCTGTTAACAAATGATATAATGTTCTTAAATAAGGAAGATTAAATTTTACTTTTAAAAGGGTGTAGAAATGATATAGTGTTTTCAATTAAGAAAAGCTGAGCATATATATATATATATATATATATATATATATATATATATATATATATATATATATATATATATATATATATGATGCGTTTAGTTGTTAAATTACATATTTGCGATTGAAGGAGGTCGGGTTTGCTTGTATCAAAGGTAAAATTAGCGAGAAAATGGCTACCAAAGTTTGGTGACATCTGATGTTTGAGTGACCTTGGTAACTGCAAATTAACTTTTTTGGTTATTTATTGACATTTTCTAGAAAGACAATAGAAATGTGATTTTAAAAAGACCTGAAAGGTATTGAGCCAAAAACGGAAAAAATAAATAAAAACTCCAACAGGCAGAAAAAATATGTTTTCTTTAATTTCATTAGTTTGACAAGCGCCTGATTTCACCATAACCCAACACATTTACTGTTGTCATCAGCTGTGTTGGCAGTGGTGAGCTTTTTGCCATTTTGGTGTGGTCCGCTCTGTCTTTTTTATCAAACAACTATTGGCAAACTGTTTGACTGTACTAAGTACTAAGCATAGAAAACAATTTTTCGTTAGAGAAAAGTAAACTGTTTCATCTTTTTAAAGTTGTGCATAAATTATTTTATCTTTACTGGCTTTTTTGACAATATTTCTCGAGCACATGCAACTAATAACGCAACTTAAGAAACTGCAATTTTAAAATATTTTCAAAATTTTGAACTGAGTACATCTGAACCGCTTGCTGACAATTTGCGAGCTAAATAGTAAAATGTAACTTCCAGCTTTGATGAACAGCATTGTGTGCACGCTCTTTAAGCAGAAACAGCTTCTTCTCTAAAATGTTCCTCTTATGTTCATACACTAGTAAAAATACTAAAAATCTTTTCCTGTATCATTCTAGTTTAGACCATGTCATGTGAGTGCATCATAATAATATATCTATACGCAGACAGGCTTTGGTTTCCAAGGCTTTAAGCTAGGGTTATGTGCCTTGCTTTATTTATTGGAGCTTTTTATTCATCTTTATGTCCTGTTTGTCATGTCGGCTACAACAAATTTGTTAAGCTTAAACGTGTTACAACTGTTGTGCTGCTGTATTACAAGTATGATAACAAAGTGACTGAGTGGAATACAGTCTAGGGTGCACATACATAGCAAAATTGACGGGACGTGGAAGTCTTTTCTGTATGTACGAACCTTGCTGTGCATATATTTGAAATACAAAGAATGTATGTGTAGAAGGCAAATTTCAGGACCTGAAAATGTGTTTGCTGTGTGCGTGTTTCGCAGCGCGCGTGCTTGCTGTATATGCGTGGTAGACTAATTTTTTCTGCGAAAATACAGTGAAAGGTTGGGTTCTCATGGGAGATTTAAGGTCAGCGATGAGGATTGAAGAAAGGATTTAAGGTTAGCAGGGAAGAATTGGGGTTTTTGTAGGAAGTTCTCATTTACCAGGGAAATGTTTTTGAGGAATTAGAATCGATTAGAAACAAGGAAGAGTTCAAAGACTTTATTGATTCATGAGGGGGATTTAGGGTGGGTACCACAATATATGGCAGTGAAGGATTATTTCTGAAAAAAAAATTCTTATGGCTGTGTAAGTGTTTTGATTGTAAAAGTAATTACTCGGTTTGAGCATTTAACGTATTAACATTGTTGTAGCACATACTGTTGTACTGTTTTGTTTAAATGAAATATTGCTAATTTCACTGATAAAGCTGTTGTTTCCTTAACTGCTGAAAAATTGCAGTTTTGGAATGATAGCTTCTGAATCTGTTCTCAAATATTTTCTCAGTTGTCGCATATTTGTTCCTATGAAATAGTGCACTAATATATTTTACAATGTATTTTGCATTAAAGACTTTTCTTTCTCTATTTTTCTTGTTTCTGTTTGTATCATGGACATAATACATTTCGAGATGTAGATATAAAAACATCTAGCCTTAAGCTACCATATATATGTTTTATATATATATATATATATTATTATGAAGCCAACTTCACTCAAACCATTGCTGAGGTTGCAGAGCTTCTGTGTGGCTTTATGCTTTCATTTCTTCCAGGCCTTTGAATGGCCACCCAGTGCCAATAGTATCGTGTCAGATACTGTCATAAATTCTAAAGGCCTGCTGATGCTACTGCTGCTACTGTTGCTGTTTTTTTGTTGTAGTTGTTGTTTTTTGTTGTTATTGCTGTAGCTGCTCTCCCTTACCATTCGAACCTCATGTTCTTCTACTTCAAATATAATTTATATACCCATTGCTGTGTTCTGCTTCTTCTACTTCTATTAAATGTTCCAATTTGTGACTGCTGTTTTTGCCAGAATTGACTCCAGCACTGAAATGGCAGCAGCTGATAGTATGTTGGTAGCAGTAATATCGTCCTCCTCCTCTTCTTTCTTACTCCTCCTCCTCCTCCTTTTTTCTCCTTATCCTCCTCCTTTTCACCCTCTTCCTCCTCCTCCTCCTCCTTCTCCTCTTCCTCCTCCTCATCCTCCTTATCTTCCTCCTCCTCTTCCTCCTCCTCCTTCTCCACCTCCTCATCCTTCTCCCTCTCCTTCTTCTACTTCTTCTTCTTCTTCTACAAAAGATCACGACGTTTGAATACATTACAGTCAAGTGTGGCTTGGCTGCACTCAACCAAACTCGAGGCCAGCAGTGGCTCCCTGATAAAACCGGCCAACCCACAAAATTGAGGGTTGGTCGGTTTTATCGGGGAAAATTTGAGCGACATAACCGTGTCTAACCCACGCATTTTCGTTAAAAGCGACGATTTTTTAAGGGAAAAAAAGTCTACACTTTTTTGGTAAAGTGTTTTTATAGGTGTTTGAAGCTCTGATTTATCGTTAAACACCTTTGTTTTGAAATAAAACAGTTTTTTCCTTCTCCTGTAAAATTTACCTCGCTGGGGTTAGCCGGTTTCATCCCAAGGCCGACGATATATTATTATTATACAAAAAGACTTTGTAAGTATCAAAGAATGCGCCAACTTTCTTCAAGGTGCATGGCTTGACAACTACTACATTATTGGGTTTTCTCACTCTGTGTCCTGTGGCTATAACTATAACAAGGCAATACGACAAGAGTTACCATTGTTTTGAAAGACTTTTTTTCCCCCTTGCCCATTTATATGAGATTGACGCCATCTGATTAGTAGAAAAAAGTGCATATGATTGTGTCAAATAATGTATTACATGCATACTTAGTATTTC